TATTAAAAATAAAAATAAAAATATCAACCCCAAATCCATTCCATATTACAAGCTATTTAATTTGACTACTTGTATATTTTTCCAAGCCTTAAATAGGCAAAGGTCTACAATGTTTATCTGTCACACCCTCAGGTGAGCATGGATTATCGAAGGAATCACTGTATTGAGCGATTACTGCTCAACCTTCTGTTGCTCGGCAGGAAGAGTAGCAACCTTCTGCCTGAAAAGCTTCTCCGCACGCTGCCAAACAGGATGAGAAGCTCGGTTTTGGATTTCAAGCATGGAAGGAAGCAGATCGTTGGAGAATGCATCAGAAGATTCGGCTGGAAGAAGACTGGGTAGGTGGTCGATCGCTATATCGAGGTTAGATCAAGCTCTTTAATACATCCAGGGCAGAGAAGGCGAAACTTACAGATCACGCTGAGAGGTGGATTAGAGACGCTAACGGGGATAGTGGGCTTATCGAATGTCTAAAACAGAGTTAGTTGGTTTGGTATTCGCCCAGCCGATCGGGATACATACAGTGTTAACGTCGTAGATTGGCTGTAATGAATTAGTTTGAGTTTTAAACACGAACTTCAGGTTCAGGAGCCAGGTACTTACAATTGGGTTGTTTGGGTTCGAGGTATCGCAGCTCTGCGCGGTTGAAAATTGTAAGAACTATGGAATCAATGTAAATTCAGAGTGAAAAAATACTTACAACATCGCAGACAACGGAGAGTCTGCGGTTTGGGGCTTTCAAACTGTTCATATCAACAAACGGTGCAATCTTCTCACTGAGATAAATGCAGTTGATGAAGCTATTCAAGTCAGACGGAGAAAGTGCCAAGTTTATAGGGTAATAAAAATAAACTCACATGTCAGCTTCGACAATCTCTGTAAAGGGCCCACCCTTTGCAGTCTCGGCCATGTCCCATCGAAGAATATCTTCGCATCCAGACTTGACGCAAGCATCAACGGCACCCCTAACACAGGGATATTAGCTTTACCCAAAGAGCTCATCGGACGAGTTCAGCTTACCTTCCACAGCGTCCAAGTGCACCAATGACTAGGATCTGAGGTCGTCGTCCAGCAATTTTCTCACCCCTGACAACATCACCGCGAATCTGCTCCAGCATCTCCTCTTCGCTGGAATAGTAACCTCTTCCATCAGTAAATTCATCAACTCCTGGGAGTGGAGTACCATCGGGATGCTCTAGCTGCCAGGCCCAAGTCTTAATAGCGAGAGCAGCTCCAGCAAATCCGGCATGGTAGCCTAGAAGGGCATTAGTTAGAAATGGAGTGCATACATGGAGTCAAGATAGCTCACCGAAAGCTGCAACTCTTCGAGCCTTATCATCCTGTAATACATGAGTCAATTTTACATCCATACACGCATACTCACCGCCATACGTATAAAATACACACCTGCAGAAACTCCAAATCATACAACACACCGCCACCCCTGCTCCATCGTCCAAGGGCCTTCTCCCAACCGCCCTGGTTCTTGAAACAATGTGCAAAGGTAACGTGCGAATGCTTGAGAGGGAAATCCTTGGTCTCATCAAGCTCTTTCAACCCAATGACAAGGTGGTCGGAGGGGATATCAACCCAGCTACCTTCCGGAACAAGGGTAGCACCGGCTTTCTCAAACTCGGAGTCATCGAAAATTCGCTTGCGAATGGCAGATGTAGGAGAACGCTCAACATTGACTTTGTAGCCGGCCGCGATGAGAGCCTTGGTTGTGGAAGGGGTAAGAGCTGATCTGCAGAATGGCTGTTAGAGTAGTATTCATAGAGCCACATGAAGCTCAAGACAGAAATTAAATATTTTCTGAGTAACCATTCTCAGAAACTGTAGACAAGCTGTGTAGTAGCAAAAGCAGGAGGATATACGTACCTATGCTCGAGGGGCTTGTCTTCGGCACGAAGGTGAAGTACTGTTGGAGCCATGTTGAGTAGGAAGCAATACCGAAAGCAATTGACTAGAAGTAACTATCAAATGATATTAATTGATGGTGATTATCAACTAAATAAGAGAATTCGACAGTATGACCGAGCTAGAGAGAAATATAAAATGCTTCCTGGAACTTTTAAGCTGTATGACTCAGGCGCGAGCCACATCTGTCACGTGGTGATAAGATATGGAACCTTGGAACTAACTAACTTGTTAGTTCACATTGGGCCCTACTACTAGTTGAAATACGTCTGGCCATGGATTATGGCGATCACTCGTTTACCCAACGTAGAGAAGTGAAGAGGTGGTAATAATTTGAAGGAATAGCTGTTATGCGACACGCTATCTAAATATACAACGCCTCAAAGACAATATTAAACATCGGCAGAATAGAAGTGAAGTCGTGACGAGTTGGCGAAGGGGAAATATATAGTTAGCTATCTATTTAAGGGGTGCATAGAGGGAGGCATAAAAAAGTCGATGAGCAACTTAACTAGCTAGTTATGGAGATGTAGGTATGTGCCTTAAGAAGACTGAGGGAGTTTGCAGGGGGAGAACGTCGTGGCATATGCGGAGGGTGGATCGTGGAAGTATTGCATGTATTGAGGTATTTTTTTTGAATCAGCATTTGGTACGAGTTAGTTTATAATGTAGTAACATTGGTGCACTAAGGTAATATGTGTACGACAAAGGGGGGGAATAGGTAGCAGGTATCAAGGACGCTCCAGTCTATAGGAATATGAGTGCGTTGTTTAGACATTTAACTTGACGTAGTTAGCTGTTTACAGAATCATAATTAGCGATTTGTCACATTCAGCAACAGGGATTCGACTTTCTCAAGGAATGCATACCTGGAAATTGTCCAGACTTTCCATCAATTTTTCCAGTCCACCACTCATTAGTATTGGCTGTGCGGTGGGTGATCTCGATGACATCACCAGTAGTAAAGCTCAGGTCACCCACAGCCTGGGCCTCATAGTCGTAAAGAGCAGTAGCAGTTTCAACGGGTGCCGCGCTAAACTTCGCTGGTTTGGGTTTCGGCGGTGGAGGAGCGGGTTTTGACTTTGCAGCCGCCGCGAGTGAGGCAGGACTTGCGCTATTAGCACGGCCGATAAGAGTTGAAGCGGTATGGGCGGAGTAAGGAGGTGGAGGGTTAGGGTCGGAGAAAGCATCGGTTGTCCGTCTAGAGTATTTTGATTCAGCTGCAAGCTTATCCTTTGGTGTAAACTTGGAGCCAGGGCGGCGGCCGCCGGTCGTTTTGAAGTGGACAATGCTCAACGCTTCTGTTCGTTCCTTTACATCACCTCGTTTTCGTTCATACGCCTCTTCAACATCTGATGTTAAGTCGAAATATCCAATATTCAGTCCCTGCATTTTATCATGGAGGGTATAAAATACGTTCAGTTGCATGTAATAAAAGGACTGGAAAAGCGGCTGAATGAACTCTGCCTCAAGCTTGAACAACTTCGGCAGTTCATCCTTCAGCAGGTCGTTGTAATAATTAAACTCTTGTGTTGCCGCTTCCACATCGTTCTCAGCCTTGTACATAGCTTTCTCATCTTTAAGAGACTTTTCCTTCTTGTCTTGTAGCCTCTTCAGGGACGCGCGGTGTCGGTCATAATCCAGCTGTTTATGTTCACGCTTGACAGCAACCTTTTGGATGACTTTAATAATCTCTAACAGCTGGTCCGCGGGGCTGATGATCCGACTCTCTATCAGCTCTAGCTCAGGCTGAAGTGTCTCTTGTAGGGAGCGCACAATCGACTCGTATTCTTCGCATGCCTGGATACCTTCCGGGTTCCCCTCCGGCTTTGCGGCGTCAGGATCTGAGACTCTACCGGAGATAGGTTTGTATAGCTCCGCGACCGCTTTTGAGAATTCAATCTGGTGATTTAGCATGCCTATACGCAATATGAGCAGTTAGGATCATTCCGCACAGGTCGAGGGGTAGGATAACCATGAGTAAATCAAAGCATACCATTTATGGCTTCGAAGTACTTCTTCGATTCATCATGCAGTTTCTTCGTCTCTTTCTCCAACTCCTGGAATCTCCTCTCCGCATCTATATAGACGGGATCCTTTGTGTTCTCTCCAAGGTTGAATTTCTGTTTGAAAGTCTGGGGAGCTCTGGCGAAGCCCTTCTGAAGGCCCTTGAGACTCATGTCAACCCCGCCAAATGTGGTCGTTCGTGGTGGTTCGGCAGCGTCGGGAACTCGGGAAAATGCGTCGATTGCGCAGAGAAGAGAGTGATTCACAACAGCGAAGAAGAGAAAAGAGACAACGGTATAGCCGAAGAGTAGGATAAATAGCAAGGCGTCTGTATTCTGCGTTGAGCACAAACAACGATCAGGCTGTTTGCTTCTCTTCAGCTTCGTCTTCCTTCCGCTGCGGCGCTAGAAGTGGCTAAGCTCGTGGCGCAATGACTTAGTCATCTTCAGCCCTGACAGGGAAGTGATCGGCTAAGTTACGTCATTAGTCACGTGTGGTTCTCTCCATGTTTTTGACGTCTTGGGTTAGCGTATTTGATTTGTTAGTCAGCAGTGCTTGGCCTCAGGAACACCAACCAGAGGCTGGCAGCGTTTGCGAGGCTTCCGCAGGCAGGCAGAGATTTGCCGTACCTTAGTTGCTGGTACGATCGATACGATCGATACCTGCCAGCAGGGCATGTCTCCGTCGCGCAGGATGTGAAAGCTCTATGGATGCGTGTCTCTCCCTTTTATCGGATATATAAACTATCCTGCTCTTTCTCGACTCTCCGGCCGAATACTGAGTCCTCAATTACGCCACAGATATAACCAACGGTTAGTTAACTAACTGGTTAGTTAGTTACCCCCAGATTTTTTCCGGCTTTACGGAATGTCGGGTTTGATATACCTAATTACTCCGTAGTTAATAATGGATATCTTTGCGGTGGAGGAACAGTCTTGAGTCTCGACGGATTCTGAAGGGAAACTCTCAATCGATCGACTCTAAACTTCCAGCACCTCTGATTCGATAACTTAGTAGGGGGTTAACGGTAGAGCACACCATAAGTACCTTGCTGGCTGGTCTTCCATTCCACTGGTAGTGATTGCTTGTCTCTTGTTGGAGAATCTATTCCCAGGCCAGGTGATTTTGCATTTCCTCCAGCTTGTATTTCAGACAGGGGAACTCGTCAGTCAAAATTGACATAAGTAGTTCTACCTCGGAGCTCACGGAAATTAACTGAACGCTGATCCCATGTGTCCGGGCGGGGAAACCCTTCGATGTTGCAGCCGCTTGCTTGCCCCCCTGGCAATAGATTAGTTATTATAGAGTACGAATTACAGGCTCTCCTCGAGTTGAAGCTGCTGGAGACTGTTCATCACGACGTTCTGATAATCAAAGTAATCTCCAATCACAACGGCTAGCCAACGAAATAGTCAGCCTAATAAAAGTAGGAAGAGGCTGATATTTCCCCCTGATTGGAGGCGAGCAGACAGAGTATAAATAGAAATATTGGGTTGGTTGGTTCAGGTCAAGCCTTGACAGAGAAAGCTTGTTTTTGTTCGACGTTTCACGTGTGATTACTGGCCTGACATGGAAAAGATAAGCACGATTCCGCTGTGCGCTCTCATTTCGGAGTAAAAGGGTTCATCTACCTATCAAAGTGCGCATTTTCTCCCCCCTTGTGATGTGCCGCGCATCAACCGGTGTCTTTTTCTGCCCTGTGCCAGATATTCCCCGTACTAGGTCTCAGGCCCGGCATCTCAAAACACAATGGTATTAAATATCAAACAGGGGGGAGAAGAAGGCTCCTCTTCTCTCCAGCTCATGTGTTGTTTGTATCCCTGCTAATTTTATACCAATTATTTTTGTCGATCAGCAAAAGGCATATGTTGTGATATTCTTCTCTCCGGCACTACCCTTCTGTAGATCACAGTGATTATTATCTCCCAGATGTTGTAATTCGTATGAAGATATCCGTCTGCATCTTGCCTCCCTCTGTCAGTTGACTAGCGGTTTCATGTAACTCTGCGTTGCTACGTAGTTCCCTGCAAATCCCCCGGACTCTGGACTCCACACTCTGTCTTCACCCATTCTGGAACATCTGTACCTACATATAGTTAGCACAAGGTGTATTCGACGAGGGCCTTGTGTCCGTTGATCAAAGCTTGAGAATGCTTAGCAAGGCTTAAGTCGTCTTGGCCAGGCTTGTTTTGTAGGGGTTTGTACGGAGTAGGGTTCCCTATCGTTTACATGCGCGAAGTCTCGTAATGGAGGAACCCAAGCGGCCCGCTGACCTAGCGAATTGCGTATATCTCCTTGAAATTTTGCTTCTGCAAGTCCGCGTAATGGTCGTAAAGATGCACTATCATCCCGTGTGTGAATTTGAAGCAGGCTATGTGCGGAGTAATACGTATCAGAGAGCCCCTGGGATAAAGACGGCAGTTGGGTATTTTGTGGATATCAACAGCGTCCGTAACATCGCAATGGGAGTATAAATATGAGCTGCTTCCTCCCTTTGGAACCCATCTTAACCAGGCCTCTATCCATCTCAAACCAGCCGGATTTTCTACTTTCCTTGCCATTTTCCCCATTTCAAGACTATTAAAAGACTTTGACTTATTCCACCATGGTCCAAATCAGCCAAATTGGTGCCGTCCTGGCAGTGTGTTCTACCTTGACGGTAGCTGCACCCACAAAAGGAAAGGCACGTTTCAACGTTCCTCAGGTCGCGGTTCCCATGAAGGCGGTACACCATCCAGCTGTCGCTTATGCTCGTGCCCTGCACAAGTTCGGCATGAAGGTTCCCAAAGCTGTCAGCGATGCCGCCAGGGGATCCGTTCCTACCACCCCAACCAAAGATGATGAACAATATGTCACCCAAGTCACAGTTGGACAGGGTAAATTGAACCTTGATCTTGACACTGGTTCCGGTGATCTGTAAGTTAATTGCTTCTTAATCAACAAGCAGTTGGATTGCAATGATTACGTAGCTAACACATCGCAGGTGGGTTTTCTCCACAGAAACTCCAAAAGATCAGAGCCAGGGGCACAACCTCTACATGCCCACCTCCAAGTCTAAGCGTCTCGATGGGTATTCTTGGGAAATTACCTATGGCGATATGAGCTCTGCTGGAGGAGATGTTTTCCTCGACACCGTTTCAATTGGAAATGTCACGGCTTCTTCACAGGCCGTCGAGTCCGCAAAGAAAGTGAGCGACCAGTTTGCCAAGGACAAGGCCACTGACGGCCTGATGGGGCTGTCTTTCAGCGTCCTTAATACTGGTAGGATATATGTTCTGACTTTTCTGCACTCGTGAACTTGCTAACATATTTATTAGTCCAACCGAAGCCTCAGACGACCTTCTTTGATACTGTCTTGAAGCAGCTTGAGAAGCCCCTGTTCACTTGCACTCTCAAGCATGGCCAACCAGGATCGTATGACTTTGGGTATATCGATGATTCGAAACATAGTGGAGAGATTGCCTACACCAATGTAGACAACAGCCAGGGATGGTGGGGATTCACTGCAGAAAGCTATTCTATTGGAGGAGGCTCCAACTCAACTCATTCGTTCCACGGAGCTCAGCACCACGGCGCCCGCGGAAGCTCCATTGATGGCATTGCCGGTAAGCCTCTTCATATCGAGTACCTGGGCTTCATACTGACTCTTTTTAGACACCGGCACTACTCTCATGCTCCTCAGCGACGATGTTGTTCAGGAGTACTACAAACAAGTCCAGGGTGCCAAAAACGACCAGCAGCAAGGTGGTTGGGTATTCCCTTGTGATGCCAAGCTTCCCGACTTCACCCTCAGCATTAGTGGATACAATGCTGTTGTCCCTGGTAAATTTATGAACTACCAGGCAGTCGGATCGGTTTGCTTCGGTGGCCTTCAGTCAGTTGGCAGCAGCGGCGGTGTACCAAACATCTTCGGCGATGTGTTCTTGAAGAGTCAGTTCGTTGTATGGGACACTGAAGGTCCTCGCATTGGTTTTGCTCCTCAGGCATAAATGGCACACATCCAGACTGCCACAGTGAGGTCTCCAGGAATACCAGAGGGGGTTAGAGTAAATGATGGAGGGAAATTGCAGTTGATCTTGGGGATGTACATATTTCTGAGGCCAGCCTTGTGAGACTGGCCAAGCATATATTGTATTTTAATTGGCTTCCGTTGAGGATCAAATAATCCATGGCTACAGGTTAGCCGTCGGCAGCTACATCGAGAGAACGAAGATGTTTATTTTCGTCAACACGCCCGAGTTTATTTGCTGAGTCATCATAATCATGTGGTCATGATGTTCTCGGGAAGGATTATTAAATATCCGAAAACTTAAACGGGCCCCCAACCTTACCTAATCAGCTGAAGCTATCAAAATTCTTAAACTATCAATGGCCCGGAATTCGGTATACAAAGCTAAGTTCCTTGGAGCCTACCCACTAATATAATGATTTTGAGGTGCCAGGAGGAAGACCCCCACTATGGCCGTTGACATCTATAGCTTATGCAGACGCGCTGAGTACAAATGGCTCGGCACCGGTGTAAGGAGTCGTCTCTGCATGTTGCTTTTGTATATAACCACCGACTAACACACCAGGGTATTCTGAATTTCTTACATCATTAGCAAGGCTATTCTGGAAGTCCATTCTGCAGCCTAGTCCCTCTTGGCGTGAATTCTTTGGGGCAACCAATACTATGTCGCTGCCTGCTTGGTAGTTCTAACCACAAACTACCTAACGGCTCGTATTTCAGACATGATGCCACCAACGTGTACATACTTCCTCATGCAACTGGAAGAATAACTCTCTTTTCATGGTTTAACCCCGCCTCTGGAGTTACCACCCGAGGTGGCTAATATAAATAGATGCTGGTTACCTGAAGTCAAAGATAAGACGAGGTGTTGTACCTAACTCAGCTTTTGGAAAGATTATTGCCTATCTACGTGGTTACCCAAATTAACTATACTTATTCGCCTGTGCTTCCCATTTAGCAGCCATGGTTCTCAAGTTGTACGGGTTTTCCCCTTCAACTAATACCCAGCGTGTTGTTCTTGTCCTTAACGAGCTAAAGGTCCCATTTGAGTATGTCACCGTCGACTTGTCCAAAGGTGAACACAAGGGAGAGGATTATATGAAGATCCAGCCCTTCGGCTGCGTTCCATGCATAGTATGCACATACATGGACCCCTTCCTGTGCTAAGCCAGATACTAAGTCCTTTCCCAGGATGATGATGGCTTCGTTCTCTATGAAAGTAGAGCTATCTGCCACTACATCATAGCCAAATACGCAAATCAGGGAACCGAACTAGTTCCGACCGAACTAAAAGCAAATGCACTCTATGCCCAAGGACTGAGCCTTGAATTAGGCTCCTTTGAGGCTGCGGCTGCCCCGTTTGTTTACGAAAAACTATTCAAGCCGTAAGCATGGTCTATGCATTATATATTTACTCTTTAGGTCCTAACGGATAAACAGATACCAAGGCTTGAGCCCTGACGAACACTCGGTCAAATTATATGAGTCTAACCTCATGAACTGCCTGGATGGCTATGAAAGAATTCTGAGCAAGCAAAAGTATATTGGAGGCAATGTGAGCAACCTTGTTAAAACGCACTGACTTGGGCTAATGCAATTACTGACGCAATAGCAGGTGTTAACTCTAGCAGATCTTTACCACCTTCCTTATCTTACTCTGCTTCCCAAAGTTGGTTTTAATGCAATTGACGACAAACCAGCCGTCTCCAGGTGAGCACACATAGGGTATATGTGGTGGATGTTTAGCTAACGAATTTACTTACGGGTAGATGGGCAAAAGAAATTCTTGCTCGACCGTCCTGGCAATTGCTTCTTGCCAATGACATTAAAGGAACTGCATAGGTTGTATTTGCCGAGCATTAGCATGCTAATGTCTTGGAGAATCTTTTCAGAGGTTGCAATTGTTATTTAAATTCCAGGAGAGTTAAAATGAAAATTTGCGAATAATATTCGTGATCTATTCATTCTATTCGGCCGTAGTATCAGTCTTATCATAAAATAAAACAAAGCTGCCGGGAATTCTTCCAGTACGGTCTCTCGTTGTGCTTTAACATGACCCAAATCTTTATGGAATCAACAAAACAAAGTATAAAGAGTATAAAGTGACGCAGCTAGAAAATTCCTGGAATAATTCTGTATGGTACCTTGGCACAGTACTCCTTCCAAGAGTCCCCGTACTTATTGTGGCACCTCACTTCATCTCGATAGCATCGATGGACAAGAAGGATTGTCATGTAAATGGCATAAGTCCATGGAAGCAAGTTCGTGAACCCGCAAGAGGCACACATGGAATAAGAAAGTATCAAATCGCCAAGATAATTCGCATGACGAACAAGTCCCCACCAGCCTAGAGTACTTGTTAGCTATGAAGGTGCATTGATATGATGGTAACAATAATTGGGAGCTTACCTGAGCATAACAAGAGGGACTCATGCATGGATCCTTCGGCCGTTTTGTATTTGGCACGGATAAACTGTGGAGGTTTACCCCATATTTTACAGTCTCCATTTGTGGCACGGGAAATATATTTCTGATGGTTGGCTGCACGAAATAGGACGTATCCTGACACTCCGGTTGTCAAGATCAACGCTGCAGTCCAGCTGGAGAGGTCGACTGGGTGGGTGGCCAGATACTGTGTCTGGAGGGTATACATCACAGGAAGCCATGCGGCAATACCCCAGGAGAAATAGAATCCGAAATGATCATGGCACATATCGAGTGTTTTTAGGTACCTGAATAATCAAATTAGGACTTCTCCTTTTTATTGACTCAAAAGCAGGGATGGATCATACCAGCCTTCATTGCAAAAGAAATCAATGACATATACCGCATGAAGGAAGCTGGTGATGATCATTGAGTTGGTAATATATCCATGTTGTTTATATTGCCAGGCCGCGAAGCACATGTCACTATTCATCGTTAGTAATGTCCAGTGTCGTAGAAGCATTGGTGGAGTAGGATAAGGGAGAGATATTACACTATTAACCACCCAATCATGCCCGGGCGCCCGTTGTGGAAAAGCTTCATATCCCAGTCCGCGCCGAGACGGGGATTAAATTCTATACCCATATAGAAATCGTAAAATATAGATCCTGACCGACACAATTAGTAATTCTAACACTGGAAAAGACTTATATAGTTTGTTTATATTTCTCACCACTAAATTTCCTATCTTCGGGGTGGGTAGGAGAGACGTGGGCTTTTATGTAGAATACCAATGCCAGTAACAAGCCATAGATATTGAACAAGCATACAAAGCTTCCCCAATTCTGAGCCACGAAGGCTAGGTCAAAGAGCCCGTAGTAGTGCAGCGCGCCAGCTAGGAGTAGCGACACTATACACGCAAGGAAACCGTTTATCTTGTATTCCAGCAAATTTCCTGCCGGCGTGAGTTGACCTTTGCATCGAGTTCCCGGCAGGAAAGAGTAGAGGATGACATGAGATAGGGTCCAGCATGTATATACAGTCACAACAGGCAATGTTGTCCCCGGTGTATTCTGTATGAAGAACGGTATCAACCCAGCTTTCACCATGGACACACCAGCATGATAGAGAGAACCATCATAGTGGCTCAGAGATGTCCACCAGAAAATCGTGATCATAGGGCAGACTACCATCATCGCGAGACACGCCATACCCCCGAGGGCCGAAGTTGTACCTTTGCGTCCCCATACCGTAATCTTATCCTGAGATCGTTCATCGATGGCACCTTGTATCGTAAAGGGGCGTTTTCTGGCAGACGCGCAGACGTTGCTGTTGGTGATAGTTATATCTGACATTGGCAATTGCAATTGGAGGCTAAAGGGTAGCCTACAGGTGAACAATTGAGGTGAGCAACCAAACTCGGTACTGAGAGGACGACGGGCAAGGAACGACAAAGCTGGGCAGCACACCTTCTTTATAAGCTAGCCGTGGCTGGGCTAGAGAGGTTTCCTTCTGCCTTCCCTCTGTACAACCAGTATCCACCTGGCAAGTTTTAGTAGCGCAGCCACTCCCGCCAACAGACACACTCATTGACCGCTCAGCTTCAAGGGCCTTGGAGTGAGGAAGATAAGAAAAAAAAACAGCTTGTTCGGATACGTGCGCAAGAACTTCCACCCGCCGAGAGACAAACGTTTTAAATCGAGAAATAAGAGGTAACACAGCCCCCTTAACTCGGGCTGGAGTAACTGGTTAGTTGCTTGGATTAGTGGGACAGAAGCTGGTATGGATAGCTCCGGGCCATAGGAGTTTGCTGTGCACAGGCAGCTTGCGGCATGCCTTGTGGACCCATGACGCTGAAGTTCCCGCCATGCGAGTTGCTGTCATAACAAGGACGCCAGCCATCGAACATGGCAAAATGTCCTCTGCAGGTTGGGGGAAGGGAGCACAGTGAGGAAGCAAATCATCATATCAGTTAAGCAGGTCATCGACGCCCCCCACCGGTCAAAAACGATCTAAGTTCCAAGCCAGCCTCAGCATTTGTAGATCACCCCTTTTTGTTGAGCTTATGCCAAGGGCCGGTCTTTGAGATTTAAATGCGAGTGATTTCCTTTTCGTGGCAAGGGCAATACCAGGTCGTATACAGAGTACGGGGTGCAGGATACAGAATTCCATCGCTGACAAGAAGCAAAATATGAAGGAAGCCCTGACTATCGTCCACACCGTAGAACATAGTTTGGATTATAACTGTAGTGGAGATGTTAAGAACTGCAAGGCACCCACGTTAGTTACCGCACGGATCTCGGAACTCCAGAAGGGTAAAACCAGGCAGCCGGTTCGGTGCATCACGGATTCAAGCGACCCTGACTGCGAGGACAGGTTCGTGTCATTGAAATATTATGACAGAACACAAAATGCCTCCTCTCGGTGGATGTCACCCTTATAAATGATAAGGAAGAGATAATTTCCAAGTGATGGAACTATCTCCGCCAAACCATTTCTTTGGTGGACCAAACACCTTCTCCCACCGTTGCCTGAAGGTTAGTGCTCGTGTATCCTGTCGAGTACTCCGTACGGAGTACGGAGGAGTGGCATTTTGAGGTTGTGGCCAAAGCATCCATAACTATCCATGGGTGGGAAAATAGGGGGCTGCGGCTCAACCCGGACGGGCCCGCGGGAAGCGAGGCGGTCCGTGTTTTATCCGAAACTCTAAACTCAATTGGACCCTCGCAGACATGGTGCCAGCTTGCAAGACAGAATAAACTCCCAGGTGGAAGTCCACGACGGTCATGAAGCTTAGTGACAGAAAGTTTCGGCATGGAAAAGAGCAAATTTGCCTCTCGCGGACCTTCAGCTAAAAATGGAGCAAGCGATATATTTGAGATTGTATCCCTCTACGAGCCGGCCAAGGTAGAACATGCTGTTGCTGAGTATGCACTACTATCCCCAATCCCCTAAATTGGAACATCAATAACTCCGGTTATAGCATTCTCCTGATACCTGGTTTGACCGGAGACCCTGTCAATACGTGGAGCTATGGTGATATATGTTGGCCACGAGATCTTCTGCCGCAAGCTCTCTCGTCTCCTGTCCGTATTTTGAGCTTTGGATACAATCCCAGCAGACATTCGAATGTGTATCCAGATATCGAGGACAGCGCACTACACCTTATCAGTGAATTAGAGAGAGTGAGGCCTGTGAAGGTAAATTTTACTCGGCAGTATCAATGCTAGCATCCGATGACAAGGTGTTCTAGGAAAAGTCAAGGCCCTTAATCGCTGTAGCATACTCACTGGGCGGAATTGTCCTAAAGAAAGTAAGCTATTTACCCGAGATCTGTAGGTTGTTCTTTATGCCTAGATTGCTAGTATTAACAAATATCGAAAGGCTCTCATTCTGTGCAGCGATAAGCCTTCCCTACGGCGCATTCCTGCTGCATTGTCCGGGATAGTATTTCTCGCTGCACCACATCGAGGAAGCTCCTTGGCTGGTACTGCAAATCGGCTTATGAGACAGTTAAGGATACGTTTGCCCCGAAAATTTATAAGTGCATTAAAGAAGAATTCAGTAGAATTGTGAGTTGGTTTTCGCTAGGAGTTGTTTTTAGTAAATTTACTAATTTATTTATAGAGAGCGGATTGCAACTGACTTTCAGCAAATCGCCAATCAGAGGAGCCTACCCATTTTCAGTTTCTATGAGTTGCTTCCAGTGAGGGGCCGCCTTAGTTGTTTCGTTGATATTGTATGTGAAGATTACTAGAAAAGGCAAAAATCAGAAAACTAACTTGCAGGACGTACAAAGGTCGTTGATAAGGACTCTGCACTTCTTAGAATTCCAAGTGAGAGTGCACTTGGAGTATATACAAATCACCGAGATATCTGCAGATACCGAGATTTTGATAATCCAATCTTCCGAGACGTCACTCGACATTTGCAACAGTTGGTAGATTTAGGGCCTCAGCATAGTAGTGCTCGCGTATTCCTTCCATTTGATGGCACTCCGCACTTTGTCGGCCGGCAAGATTACCTTCAACAGATCCACAACGCATTTAATGGCTCAGATAACCGTCAAGTAATCGCTCTTTATGGTGAAGGCGGTGCTGGAAAGACAGAAATTGCATTGAAATATGCACGGGAGAATGCAAATCATTATGATTATGTCTTTTTCGTGGATTCTACTGATACACAGTCTTTGGAGAGCGATTTTATCAGACACCACAGAAAGTTGGGGTTACCGCCGAGCAACTCTTGCGCATTGAATGATATCAAGCAATTCCTACGCCTAGAACGCTTTTGGCTTATGATACTTGATAATGATAATAATTGGCTGGCCCTAAACTGGCTGGGATTCCCAGAAATCACACACGGTCACATTATCATAACGTCCCGACACCGTGAGCATACCAGTGATTCTAGAGTCACGAAGGCGCTTTCTACAAACCCTCTGGGACCAATGGATGCCAGAAACTTTTTACTATCGAGAGCTGGAATCGATGTAGAAGAATGGCTTAGCTGGGAGACTAAAGCAGAAAGTGTAGCCAAGCATATGGGATGTCAACCTCTCGCGGTTGATTCAGCAGCTGCATATATGTTGGCCTATGGTGTTACCGTTGATGAATACCTCAATGCTCTCACTGGGAGCCGAGTTTCACGAAGACTACTCTTCTATCGACCTAATGCATCCATATATAAGACGTCGGTTGAATCAATTATCCAGCTGGCTCTGGATGAAGTCAAGAAAAATCCAGATGCATTTAGGTTGCTTAATATTCTCGTATGGCTTGACCGAACTAAGACAACTATCAGTTTTCTCAAGCGTGCAGTCTCTCGTCAGCCTCGATGGGGCCATGATGGTCAGGTCGAGATGAGGGATCCACTAAGGAGCTATGTCCCACCGGATCTTGTTCGATTGATAAATGGGCCAAGCTTTCATATTGCTCTCAAAGAGTTACAGTCGTGTTCTTTGATTGCCAGCGGTAAAATGTTTGAAGACGGAAGGAGCCCACGGTGCAAAGATACAATTGTTTTGCATCCTTTGACATATTTATATATTCGAGAAGCTCTCCCTCCCACTAAGATGCTAGAGAATGCAATACATGCTCTCAGCCTTGTTGTTCATGCTTATCCTGTGGCACAAGCTGGCTTAGATCAAAGGTGAGGGACTGAATCCACCGGTTCTTATATTGATATATCATCCTAACATTTAACAATAGTCCCTTGCAAAGCATTCTTCCACAAGTCTTTCAATGCAGTCTCAACCGCGAGTACCTTGCAGAGGAAAACATCGATCTGATTAAAGCCATTGAGAAGGTTGATATTCGGGCAGACGAAGAGAGGACATTTGCTGAAATTACAGCTGAAATGTTTATGGAAGTTGCTCGTGGATACGGTGAAGGGTCTAGTCACTTAGAAAATACCCTTCCTCGGTGGATTAAAACCCTTATCAACTCTTTAGAAAAAGCCGGGCTACACGCCCGCCTATGGTGCACAAGACTTCCGTTGGAGTTTTACAGCAAGGGGAAATTTACAGATGGTTGCGAAGCCGCTGCCGCATTTTTGCGAGATGCAAAATTCAGCCCCGGCGATAAGATCACGAATAATGATAATGCCCAGGCAGGCTTTTTGCGCCATATGTCTGTTGAGTACCTGGCTCGTGATGATAGCCTGTCAGATAGAGAAGAGTGGGAGAAACGCGCAAAATATATAGAGGCCTGGAAACCTTTAGACCCTCACGCGCCTTCAGAACTTGAGCGATATGCGCAGGGTATGGGCATAAGGATGCGGGGCAAGCTTGCTAAAGATTTCGGACTGTTCAACGAGGCATATTTTTCTTTGAAACTCTTCATTGAACAATATGCTAAGCGCGGAAGCCGTGAAGAAGGCTGGGCTATTGGTGACTTGGGACAGGTTGTGCTTGAACTTGAAGGAGCAGATGAAGATTGCGATGCCTTGAGTGACTTCATGACAACTGGCATTAATTGCGGCCACGATCAATCGATCCCTGAAACAGATGCAAGGCCATGCGAGGTCATCACTCAAATATATTCCCAAGCTATAGAGAGCCGTACGATTGCCAGAGGAAGCTCGAGCCAGTATGATAGGGACAATGTTCGCGAGAGCGATACAATGTTTCTCGAAATTAACTGCGCTGTCAGCATCCTTCGCGAAGGCATCTTCCGCCCCGAACGATACGCGGAGGCGGAACAAAAACTTATTCGATTAAAGGATCGGTTCGAAAATATGTTGACAACGGGAACTTTATGGCACGATGATCAAACCCGCCATTTCTCGGTGCTCGCATATCTCGCCCAAATTTCACATCTTCAGATGGACTGGGAGGTGGCACAATCCCGGTGGATAGAAACAATAGATTATGGCCAATCATCTGTGAGGGGATGGGATGGAGATCATTATTATATAGATGTCGCCAGATATAGCCTTGCTAATGCTCAACTTCGAGCAGGAGGCGAACCAGATGCGATCGTTGCGAAGCTAGACAAAATTGTTCATCGACTGAATGCTGAAGTGGTGACATGGAATTTAGGACTCGGGACATTTTGGCTAGAATATATAAGGAAATCAATGACTGAGGTTAAGAAATTGCGAGGGAAGGGTGATGTGGGAGATTGGTAGGTTACATATAAGATGGAAGATAGGCGAGCTAACGATCTTGGAACATTATTATATCAGATCCTTTATTTACATATTTTATACAACCTTCCGGTCCCAGCTCTATCTTTGTATTACCGACTCTTGAATGGCAGAGCGTCATGACTGTTATCTAAGTTATGGCGGCTCCAACTAAGTTTGGAACTCTAATCCACTTTGGCTCATCGCCCTTAAGTAGTTAAACTCCATTACAGTTAAAGTTAGTTAACCAGCCGAGGGGCAACTCTGCCCTGAAAATGCTAAAAACTTCAACGTGGCCATCAACTTTTCACATCTCAGCTATCTCCATCCCTACACCCCAAGAAGATCACGATGAAAGAAGGCCTTGAAGCCAAGGCGCTTCGCCAGTTTGACGCACTGGTGGAGAGAGGCGATGTCATATACTCTCACCGTGACCCGGTCCATGTCCCCACAAAGCCATTCAATGTGAGGACAATCTTTCCCCCAGTTTATCTAGCTACTCGTTAGCAGGTAGCTGTACCAAGCATTCGAATACAGGCTAACCGCTGCGGAATTCGCACCAAGATATTTAGATCCAATTCCGAATTGCATCAAGCCTGACGAAGAAACCGCAAATACCGATAAAGGACGCTGAGAAGAAACCACCGGTTAATAAAGCCAGTCCATTCGCAAATGACCCCCCAGAGTTCGTTATCGAGCATGTTGGCCCCGATCATACTCTGCGCCTGAATAAGTTTTGCGTCGTCCGGACACAGTTCATCCTCCATTGCAACGAGTTCAAACCTCAGATCGAACCCCTGGAAGCAGTTGATTTGGCTGCTGGATGGAGCGTTCTTACTAGGATGGAAAGCGAATACCTACTCATATATAATGGAGGACTGCAGGGTGGATGGTCTCTGCCGCATCGTCATATGCAACTACTTCCACGTCCCCCAAGAGATGTTCATAACTTGTTCCCGGACATATATGGCATTGAAAACGGTTTGTCTCCCAACTACTCGGTTAGTCAAGGATAAAGAAAACTAAATGGCTACTTAGGACGAGTTCCCAATATCCCATTCCAGCACGTGGTTCGAAGGTTACCTGCTTCAGCAACAGCAGAAGAAGTTTATGAAACTTATACTGACCTTCTGGCTGCAGCTGGAGTTGACGAAAACGACTACTCACATAATCTGGTGTTAGTCAAGGATTGGATGATGATTATTCCGCGATCTCGTGCAAGCCAAGAGGGTATCAAGATCGTCAATGCAGCAGCCATGGTGGGTATGATTTGGATACCTTCAGACGAGGTCTTGGATCTTTGGTTACAAAGCGGCAACCCAATGGAAACCCTTGCCAGATACGGCAAACCGTGGTAGTTTATAAGCGGATTCCAACTTTTGGATACATATACGAAGGATAGACGATAATAGACGTGACGGAAGGGCATATAGAAGGATCCTAACCTACACCGCGCCATACATATATAGATATTATTAGAAATGAGCCCAACGCACAAGTGGATGTCCAATTGTCATATGCAGCTCTAGCCCATCCCATGTAGCCATTCATATTTCGGCGGTTAATCAGCCACAACTTCGTCCTGATTGCAGAGCCAAGGCCCTATTGTTCAAAAGCTCACTCCCTTGCGGCCATGCCGCAGCCTTACCAATATCTCCCCATAATCGGAGGTTTATCGATGATCTACATTTAATTGTAGAGCAAGGAGACTGGGAACACGCAGGGAATCGGCGGTTTGCCTATGTTGATCGGCCCCCAAATGTTAACTAATAATTAGTTAATTCTGACGTAACTGGCTTGTTGCAGCGCTGTTCCTCGCGCTTAACGTCGATTACATAGCCACAGCGCAGACCACGTAAGTATAACTACCAAGCTCCAGATATGTTGGAAAGTCTTTTGTTACGTACACAAGGCTCAACAAGGGTGCCTGTTGCTTGGATACGGGCGGAGCGACATTGGCTGGGAATCCCAGCTTGGGGGCGAAGCTCCCTCCGCCAAGTGCGTGAATCCCGAGCAACCACTTACATCTCAACTTAGATGACAGCGAAATGTTTGATGGAAAAGGAACATGACAGCTAACTGATGCAAAGACGGAATGTCTAGTCAAATCACCAAGTTTTCTGTGATGTTAACCACCATGCCGAGCCGCTCAGGAGAAACAAGAGGCAGCATAATTGGTCAAATGAAGATGGCCGCCGCAGTCTCTAATCCCTCCGCAGGATTACGGGGCTTATGATATGATATCGTCTTGGACGGCGACCACAGAGTTTTGCTAATGGCCCTCAGTCTCTCAGCCTTTGAGGCTTCTTTGTTTCCGCTCCCTTGGCAGGTTCTTTGACCACTGTCCGTTTGATAATGTGTTGCCATATTGGTGTTTCAGGCTGCACACGGCTCGTATACATGCTGCCGGCCGTAAGGCCGTGGTTTTATTGTATGGACAAGGAGCTTCTGGGGAAGTCGAGATTGCACATGGTGGCTTACAGCCTTGCGAATATGCTTAATCTCTCTGGCGATCTGAAGCCTCTGGTTGTATATATAAAGCCAGGAGACTCTTCTTCCTAGAGTTTCTTTTCGTAATTAAGCAACCTGTACATTCTCCTGGCCTTACGATAACTACACCTTACCAAAAAAGTCAAGACTCAGCAATCCCAACGAAGCCCATATATAAAACGCGAAAATGGTTAACATGAACATCCTCGCCACCGTTACTCTTGCTGGCCTCGCTGCCGCAAAGACCGTTGAGGTCGTCGTCGCCGAGAATGGCGGCCTTACCTTCACTCCAAACAAGATCAAGGCCGATGTCAACGACATAGTCCACTTCAAGCTCGCCAAAAGCGGCCACGACATCTCGTCTGGCCCATTCGACATGCCATGCAAGCCCAGCGACAACTCACTCTACTCTGGCAAGCTCAATGAGGGAGACGAGTTCTCCGTCAACATCACCAACACCGACCCAATCTGGCTCTACTGCTCCGTCAGCAAGCACTGTTCCAAGGGAATGGTTGCTGTCATCAACCCTCCGTAAGTAATTCTTTTTCCAAGGTGCGAGGAAAAGCTGCCCCTGTGTACGGAGTACTAACTTGGATATTTCGACACCGAGTAGATCCAGCGGAAACACCATTGAAGCCTACAAGCAGGCTGCTGCAGGTGCTGGAAACGGCCAGGCACCCTCGAGGGTCAACAATGGAAGCAGCGGAAGCGGCACTCCCACCAGCGGCGGAGCTCCTGCTGCTACCAGCCCCAACGCTGCCTCCAGCTTGACGTTCAGCGGCGCTGCCACCCTCGTCGCGATGGGCGGTGCCTGGATTGGTCTCCTTTAAACTGTTCCTTCATCTCCATGCATGATTTCCTTCTCTGCTTTCAAGCTTGGTTCAAGGCGCTGTGATGTATCTTTAGCTACCATCTAGATCTCATGACTTAAAGTAATTTAGTACTCCGTACTCCGTACGACTTTCATACCTCACTGTCACCAGCCTTCAGTTTCCTAGCTTCCTCTGTCTTCATCCTTCTTCATCCTTCGTCTCTTCTTCGTCTCTTCTTCTTCTCTTCTTCCCGCCAGTCAAAAAGCTCCAAACACGAAGTGATATCCACGTGACCCGGAGCTGAAGCTCGGCCGAGGCTAAAGTCCGATTTGTCAGCATATCTTACATAAGCCAGACTTCCGCCAACGAAATTTTCTTTCTTCAGCTTCTTTTTCTCGTCTTGAACTTTTCAACTTCTTTCATTCTTCGTTGTGTGGAAGAGATTCATCAGCCAGCCATGTCGAACATAGCACCTCAAGTGCTCAGGCATGCCTCCCGGGCGTGCTCGCGGCGCCTGTCGCTGTCAGCAAGCTTGGTCAGACCAGCATACAGTGCCAGGACGGTCACGGGTTCCGGCTCTGGCGGGAGGAGGTACGTGTCGGGCTCGCAGAGGCACAATGCCCAAGCCCAGACGACAGTTGAGTCTGCTGTCAAGACAGAGCAGAAGGCATCGGTCCCAGGCACTGCTGTTACTGGCGATACCCTGGCCAATCCGTCTGCTGGTATCTTGAAACAGGCTACAATCATGGATGAAGGAAATCGACCGATATATCTGGACATGCAAGCCACAACCCCTACTGATCCCCGAGTTCTCGATGCGATGCTACCGTTCCTCACCGGACTCTATGGTAACCCTCACTCGAGAACCCATGCCTACGGCTGGGAGACTGAGAAGGCAACCGAGCAGGCTCGGTCACACGTTGCCACTCTCATCGGGGCGGATCCAAAGGAAATCATTTTCACCAGCGGGGCTACTGAGAGCAACAACATGAGCATCAAGGGTGTGGCTCGGTTCTTTGGCCGTTCAGGCAAGAAGAAACACATCATTACCACTCAGACGGAACACAAGTGCGTTCTCGACAGTTGCCGACATCTGCAGGACGAGGGCTTCGAAGTGACCTATCTGCCGGTTCAGAGTAATGGTTTGATCAAAATCGAAGATCTCGAGGCTGCCATTCGACCTGAAACGGCGCTGGTTAGCATCATGACCGTTAACAACGAGATTGGTGTCATTCAACCCATGAAAGAGATTGGGGCCCTTTGTCGGTCAAAGAAGGTCTTCTTCCATACTGACGCTGCCCAAGCTGTTGGAAAGATACCCGTTGATGTAAACGAATGGAACGTTGACCTCATGTCCATTTCTGGCCACAAGTTGTATGGACCCAAGGGAATTGGAGCATGCTACGTTCGACGTCGTCCTAGAGTTCGCATCGACCCTCTCATTACCGGCGGTGGCCAGGAGCGCGGATTGCGCAGTGGAACTCTCGCTCCTCCCCTGGTCGTTGGATTTGGTGAAGCCTGCCGGCTCGCCAAGGAAGAGATGGAGGTACGTTATATTCTCTTCCCTTTTACACATCCACCTTCACGATTATTATACTGCCACGAGTTCTGCCTGAGATGATTAAATGCTTCTTTCAATTCTTATACATGCATGGTTCTGAAAGTCCTACGACTTGTGTTTGATATAGCAACTATATGATCATGGCTTACAACTCATTTTCCTTTCCCCTACCCATCCCCATTCCCATTCACATGAACTTCATTGTCATGGCTGGCTTAACTAACACTTTGGCCCTCAGTATGACTCGAAGCGTATCTCAGCTCTCTCCCAGCGACTTCTCACCAGTCTTCTTGCCCTTGAGCATACAACCCTCAACGGCGACCCTAACCGACATTATCCAGGCTGCGTAAATGTATCATTTGCCTATGTTGAGGGCGAATCGCTCCTCATGGCTCTCAAGGACATTGCCTTGTCATCTGGCAGTGCCTGCACTTCCGCCTCTCTTGAACCTAGCTACGTACTTCGTGCACTCGGAAACAGTGACGAAAGCGCCCACAGCAGTATCCGATTTGGCATTGGTCGATTCACCACCGAAAGCGAGATCGACTATGTGATCAAGGCAGTTAAGGAGAGAGTCACATTCCTCCGTGAGCTCAGCCCACTGTGGGAGCTTGTGCAAGAGGGTGTCGACTTGAACACCATTGAATGGAGCCAACATTGATCCCAAACCATCCTTCTTTTGCTTTCGCTCTCCTCCCTCACTGCCATCGCCTTTCTCGTGCCGACTAACTTAGGTACTTCTACTATCTCAACAAGCATGCATCTTGTTCCAATACCCACTTGTATATTTTTTTTATTAATATGGTGCTTGATCCCGGGAAACATTCTCGCGGAATGATCAGTTTGCAGCAACCAACTCGCCCGCAGTGGCTCCGGCCTTCTCATGTGTCAGTTCGGCCTCTCTATGCTTCTCTTTTTGTTATGGGACATTCATTGAAATGGCAACTCTCCTGGCAAAATATGTACCATAGCCCTTGATGATGATAACTATTCAATCTTTTAACC